GTTCTGATACTGTGACGTCAGCGTATACAAAAATATACGGATACGAGCGTCCACACGTATCCGGATACACAGCGTATACAGAAATTTCCACTCTGGAGAGCGTATACAGAAATCTCCGGATACACCGAGCGTATACGGCGGACACGTGTGGACGCTAGGTGTATCCGCATAAAAAAATTTGCGGATACAAAAATCTCCGGATACGTGTGGACGGGGCCTGACTCAATTACTCTAGCACGATTTGTCATTGTGCGGACAACGCAAACTGTTAAAACTCCGTTCTTCAACTATCGTCAACGCCGATTGAAAAAATAGATTTTAGAGTTTTATCATTAAGCTATGTGACTTTATTGCAAAGCATCGAGTCTACGTAGATTTAACCTTACAATAATTACTTTGAAATAAAACATTTGTACCCGTTTATGCTTTGTCATTTGAAAAGGAATCTTTTGACGAGACTTTTTTTTCTTTTTTTATTGTGTCATTCATTTATTCATTTTTGGTTTATTTTATATTATATTTATTTAATATTTTTATTTTGCCAGAGGTAAAAGGAAAAGATTGGCCGAAGATAGCGGCGAAGAACTGTCCAAACTTTACGTAAAAACGCGCACAACAAACATCGCGCTTCCCGTCAAACTTTTTTGTTCTATGTTTTTGTTAGGCCCGGTTCAGACGCCGAACTTCATGAGCCGAACTTAATTTGAATTAAGGCCGACCCAAATTATTTAGATCGGCTGAATTATCGCAGACGCTGATCTTAATTCTAGATGAACAAAATGCAAAAGGAGAAAAATGTTTGTTTCGGTCAAACTGCTTGCAAAATACGTTATAGTAATTTGTGCATTACATTCGGGAACATTCATAATCGTTCGGCACCTGTCCACGCGTATCCGTTTTCATTTGAACACGCAACATTTTCTTTACGGATACGGCTTCCGTCCACACGTATCCGATGAACACGATCAATGAAAACGGAACTTTTCGAAAACGCTCTCTAGAGTGGAACTTGTTGAAAACGCTGTTTTCGCGTGTACGTGCGGACAGATGAAAACGGAACTTTTCGAAAACGCTCTCTAGAATGAACTTTTTGAAAACGCTGTTTTCGCGTGTTCGTGTGGACAGACAAAACGGAACTTTTCGAAAACGCTGAGGACACACTATCAGTTCACATCCACTCCGCGCAATTATAAGAAACTTATTCAAGATGGCGGACGGGAGCTTCTCTTTCTTGTCTTTTATACTTTGGCTTATTTCTAACCTAACTTCTTGTTTTCAAGCAAATTTAGCTTTGTTAATTCTTCAAGCTGATTATTCCAGGAGGCGGCAGAACATTATCAGGTTACTTTCGCTACCGGTGTCAAGAGGTGGAAGATTGGATCTCCCTATAGTTTGACTTTGTCTTGCCCTGATTTTGACATTTTAAACTGTTTCTGCGACTTTGAAGAACGTCACAACAATATAAACCCACACCAAACAAAATTCAAAGATGGCGTTAATTTATTATTTCGCGGGCTCCTAATAGCAAACACATATGCGTCAAGCATACGCAGTTAGGTAACTTGTCGTTTTCAAATCGATTCACTGTATACGTGTGGACGGGCGAAAACGCTACGAGTGGACGCGAGTTTTTTTGAAAACGAGAAAAAAAGTTGCGTTTTCAAACGAATACGGATACGTGTGGAACGGGCCTGAATCAAACCCACTCCAGCCGAAATTCCCGGCCGGGCTAGGCGGGAAGAACTGCTGAGCCGTTCCAAATTGAAACAAGCGTTCCTAATTGATTCAGATGCCCAACCTTTCATGTACTTATTAGGGCCATTTAAACGAGGAAAAATAAGACGCGTCTTACATAAGACGCGAACTGTACCATTTTATACGAGCATGACTTATCTAATAAGACGCGTCTTAGCTAAGCCGCGTCTTATTTTAGACGAAATGTGCCGTTTATACGGAAAGTTCGCGTCTTATTTAAGACGCGTCTTATGTAAGACGCGTCTTATTTTTCCTCGTATAAATGGCCCTATTCAATGTATTAGGTCCGGCTCATGAAAATTTCGGCGTCTAAACCGGGCCTTAAGCTTTTATGGACTTGACAGTGTACAACGTTTATTAGCATTCCTATCATTTTAAACTATTTTTTTTCTTAAAACTTACTGACCGATGGAAACGGCACAGAAATTTATATTAACAATATTTGTAAGGATGAAAATAAAAAAGATTGCGCACAGTCAGTAAGCTCCCAACAGATACTGCCTTGATTTTTGTCGACCTTCAAAACCAGCAATTGTTTTGTTTCACAAACACAGGTAGCTCACACCAACGCATTTTTAAAATAGGGAGCTTAAGCAACGACGTCGGCGATGGCAACGAGAACGGCAAAAATGCAATAGGTTTAGATTAGCAAAACAACCATTTTGCACGTGCAGCACGCTTTATTGTAAATTTCTTTGCAGTCAATGCACGACTACGACGTGAAACGTCCTAATTTCACGTTTTATGGAGAACGTAAACACAAGACAACGGTTTTCCTTTTCTTCTTGTGAACTTAGATACAGTCCTTTAGAATTCAAATCCTAAAAAAATGGCCAACATTTGACAAATTAAGGGTGTTGGAATAAGAGCCATGAAGAAGTTTGAAACAGCGCGAATTCACTTTCTGGGTAACGTTTTTGCTCCTGTTTCGCTGTCGTCGTTGCTTAAGCTCTTTTCTTTCTCCGATCACTCATGCACTGCCAGCAGGTGTGATGGTTGATAAAGAAAATCAGAGGAGCGAAGTACATTGTTTATTCACAAGGACAAAAATTATCATTATAGGAACCAGCACTTTTACTGATAAAATCGTTTCGCTCCTCGCGATCGCTACTTTTATCACTTCGATATGTACACGCAAGTATTGAACCATAATTTATTTTCCTACACAGTCGAACCTCCCGTAAGCGACCACCCAAAATGCAAAGACTCAGTAGTCGCTTTAATAACAAGAATCGAGCCACAGGGCGCTTCTTCCAAGAAGAGGTCCGGGCCATCCACTTCATGGAAGATAATTTATTGGATACACTTTCTAAGTTACGCCATGTGTAGGTCCATGTTGTTACTAAAATGCTTCGTCTATTCTAGTTAGAACATTGCACACAGCGAACATAGAGATCAGGGAATCCGTCATTTGGTCGCTTACAAGAGGTTCAAAACAATAGAAAATCATTAAACTTTCAGGCCCAAAAAGTGGTCGCGGTCGCCTACAGGAGGTGTTCGTTTAATAAAGGTTCCAACCGTAAGGCTTTGACTGGGAAAGTTTTGGTGTTTTGGATAAGTGGTAACTGATGGTAGGTGGTCGCACATGGAGGTTCTACTGTACCAACGTAAGAATGTGTCGCTCTCTACCAAGGCCCCGTCCTCACGTATTCGTGTTTGTTTTGAAAACGGAAATTGTTTTCTCCGTTTTCAAAAAAAACATCCGCGTTCACACGTTGCGTTCTTGAATGGTTTTTGCCCGTCCAAAAGAAAACGCAATAGCGATTGAAAACGGTACCAGCTTTGATGAGAACATGCGCATTAACTGGTATCCATCACCGTGACGTCATCGTTTTCATGAACCTCCCTTTCCATCCATCCACACGAGTACATCATAACGGCGTCGTCAAAAATCTCTACTTTGGAGAGCGTTCTTGAAAACACACGTTTTCGGTGACCGTTTTTACCAGATACGTGTAGACGGCAGGCCAAACTGGAGGAAAAAAATCCTTTTTCAAACAAAAACTTACATGTGGACGGGACCAAAGCTTCCCAGCTGTTTTTCACGCGTTTTCCTTAATAAAATTCAAACACTCCCTCTCGAATAATAAAAAAAAGCTTTCCCAGTTGACATGCATGCCGCCGTACGTCCTACAAAGCCTGAAACTTCCATAGCATAATCAGGTAAAGTTTAAGAAGTAAAAAGCAGCAAATTTTAAATATTTTTCTTCTGCTCTCGATCTTTTGTGGCTAAAAAAAGTAATAGTAATAAGAAACTGCCAGCAGTCTAAGTAGTGTCAGTCTTTGAAATTGTGACAATAACTTGTACAGTGGAACCTCCATATAACGAACTGCACGATATAACGAACTATTTTCTTTACCACAGTAATAGTAAAATATATTAAAAAGAACCTCGTTATAACGAAAACTCGTTATAGCGAACAAATTTTGTCAGTCCCTCACCCCTTCGCTAAATCGAGGTTCTACTGTACATGGATACTGGGATTACCCGGATCTAAACAATGCAACCACAGCGCAGTAGCGAGAGTCGAAATGCACCAATTACAAACAGCCACCAGAATGCGTTGATGCCACCGCTTAAAAATAGTTGATACAAAATGTCAGTAAGAGGATGAAATGTGGTTACCAATATCGAAGTGCGCCTTTACTTAAACGAACCTTATGCCCAATTACACCAAAGCTTAAACGTGTTTAAAGGGCGTTTAGTTAAACACGGTTTAAAAGTCTTTCATTCGTAAAAGCTGCTTACTAGCTCAAGTTGACTGCAAATGTAGTGCAAATTACAAAAATCCCATGCAAAAACCCGTATTCTATTTTTCCGTGTCTGCTTTTTAAAAACCCAGTTTAATTAAACATGTTTAGTTGGTGTGAATAGGGCATAAGTTGGTCTAAATGAACTATAAACACTGCTTATTAACTATGTCCCCGGCAGAGACGCCAGCTCAGCTCTATTGCACACACGGTTCATTTCTGTTAACACTGTACTCAAGAAAACCTGCGGAAATTGTTGATTCAGCCGCATGACTGTCTCCTCTCGGACAAGATCACATCTTACCAACCCTGAAACGAAAAAAAAGGCTTCATTTTTCCTGGTCTTCACTGGTAAATGCATAGGTGGCCCAAGTTCGAAATATGACCATCGGTATTATTGCGTAATCTTCAAAATATAAGGTTATGTATGGGGAAAAAACCATTGTTTCTGTAACCAACGAAAGTGAAAGGATTTAAAAGAAAATCAGCTATCCTTACTCAAGTTGTGTGTTTCTTCTTTCCTGTGCGATCCCCGAGCTGATTTATGTCTATTAAAAGGGTTTTGTTGGGACCGGTTTGTTTTTAATAATAAATTTATAGAAACTTAACGAGTCGTACGAGTTCTACAACAGCTGAAACTGCATCTTATCAGTGAACAGGAAGGGTTTTCAACAAAGCAATTTCGATTATACTCTAGCTCTAGTATACAACATGTAGTTAGCGCTTTGCTTGAACAAGAACACACTCAAAAAAGATGTAAGCACCCTTAAAGAAGGGTTCTGTACTCTGCCCTGTGGATTTAATTAGCTGTCATTATTATGGGTAATGAATTCATTACTTTGAAGGAACAGCCATAAAATGCTCCACAAGGTTCTACTAAAGGGTACTGACCTAAATGCTTGAGGTGACGGCATCCCTCAAGAACTGCATGAACTCCTTGGTCTGTAACCTTTTGACACCAACTTATATCTAGCCTCTCTAACTTACAAACACAGCGCTTAAAAGCCTCCAGCCCTGAAGAAAGAATCGGTTTAGTTAGATGGCAATTATTATCAAAAAGATAGAGGCAGCAGGTTATTTTTTAAGGAACTTTTAGTTAGTGAAATACATATTTATCCATCAGACCTTCTCATTCTTTGCATGCTATGTCATAACAGTACTGTGCAATTAAGAAGAATCTCAAAGCCAGTCTAAACCCAAGCTACCCACTACTTTCAAAACAGATGATGCATATCACTCCTTCCTGAGTTAGCACTCATATTAGAGCCTATGTAGCAGGCAGGTTGTTTGGAGTGTGCTGAAAGAGAGTTTATTCAGGGCTTTCCCCCCAAACAAGGTAAAACATTACAAGTTTAATGTCACCATTGTCAACAAGTCAGCAGTTTTAAAGCAGTGGCTAGACCTAGATGACTAAAGTAGCACATAACCTCACCATTGTCAGTTATTTTGCAGTGTACCAAATATAAACTGCGCAGAGAGGCACAACGTGAAATTATATAGTCCAATGCCTTGTCAGTCACATGAGAACAGAGACTTAAGTTCAAAATCTGGAGATATGGGCATCCATTGACTACTTCTTTAACTTCATCATCTGTGAGACTAGAGCAGTAGCGAAGATCCAGAAGTATGATATTTCTACAACACTGGGCAACAAACAGTGCTGTCTGTGAAGTAATCCCGCTTGAGTTGAGATGAAGTCTTTCAAGCAAGGGACACCTGTGCACAAGTTCATGGACTCCATCATCTCCAATTTTATCATTATACTCAACTGAGATGAATGTGAGGTTTGGACAGTTCTGAGCCACTGAAAGTAAACTGTTACTGGTCAGTGAGCGACACTGGTCCATAGTCAATTTCTCTAACTGGACGCAGCCTTCACAGAGCTGAAAACAAATTTAGGTAGTAAAACAGCTTTAGATAATGGTAGATATCAAAATACACAAAACTAACGACTCAGTTTGAGAGTTACCTGGTGAAAAAAAATGACAAAGTTAACTTAACTTTCAAGCTTTTTGCGTCCAATTGATTTAAAGGTTTGCATTATCTCTGATAACTACTCAAAAGTTGCTCAGAAAGGCAAAATCTGCAGGAGGTTGCTGGAACCACAAAAAGTTGCTCCAAACACCAAAAGTTGCTCAATAGTTGCAGAACACAATCGGGAAAGGCCTAACTGTGAACAGTCTACTTACCCCTCACTTACCTCTCACCTCTTACTGTTCAACCTCTACCCAGAACCCTTCACTCCTTACCCTTTACCCCTTATCCTAACCCCTGCTATGCAAGAGAGTCAACCTCTAGATTTCAGACCCCAGTAGTTCAAATGTTGGATGGCGCTATCCTCCGGATAAATCACTAACCAATGGATAAGTAATACAAAAACTAATTGCGTTATCCACTGGATAGTGATTTATTCGTTGGATAGCGCTATCCACCTTTTGAATAACTGGGGCCAAATCTACAGCTGCAACAGAGGTTTGCATCTCTGCCTGTTTTTACATTGTGACAAGCATGATCACCTGCATAGCAAGCATAATTTATGTGATATAGGTTTATTTTCACACACACAGACGGTGTAGTGCAATCTATATCGGCCTGTCTTTGTACTGAGACATTGTATCAAGTATTTTCATACCCCGCGCCTTACCTCTTTAACTCCAGTGTCTGTGACACGACACAAGCTTATATCTAGTGACCTGATATTCCGGCATGACTGTCCAATTACCGACAAAATTTTATCAGTTACAGCAACACACCTAACAACACTTAAATCCACTAGACACTTGCACTGCAACAAAGCTTTGAGGAGTCCTTCCTCAGTTATACTCCGGCATTCCGAAACATCCAGCACCGAGACAGCTGATCCATGGTTCGTAATTCGAACAAGAACCTCGTCGTCTACCTTATGCCTTTTTTGAAGTTTCAATTTCCTCCATAGGCAGGGATCCAGAGTTGAGTTATACCAGTGCTTGGAAACGCAAGACGCTCGTCCCAAATCTTTCAGGTCCAAGTACGACAGAATGCTTAAGAATACAACTTGGGGAAGGTTGTTTATCTTAAAGGAGTCTCTGTTTCCTTCTTCTTTTTGCATTTTAATGCCGCTGAGATCGTTCATATTCAAACCACTCTCACTTTGTCATCTATTTTTTAAAACATTTTTTTAAAACGCTTGCGTACCTAAATCACGACGCTCGAGTCTCCAGTCCACCATTTTGAACTGTATTTGCGATTTACTGTAGTTCCAGTCCACCCGCTGCATTTGATTAAAAGCAAACATGGCGGCGTCCTTGTGCAGGACCGCGCAAAAAGCGTTCCACTTTAATGGGATTATAAAGAGCGTGGTAAGAGATGTTTTCACATTTCCTGACTCTGATCTTTGATTCTTTCAAGTATATTTATATTATTACTTGTTTATTAATTTCTTTTGGTCAGTTTAACATTGCATCAGGGTCCAGTTCGGTTTTCTCCCCATCACGGCAAGTTTCGAATATACACGCTACCGGTACGTAAAAACCGATTTCATAAAATGGTACTCAGAGTAACTGCATAATACCCTGCCACTAATTCGAAGCTATATCCCTGAAAGAGCTGGATACGTGGATACGCAGTTATCCCTTTTATAGACTTAACTTTTAATTTCTACTTTGCTTTAAGAACGGCAAATAGACATACAATAAACTTTATATGCGGTCTTAAGTGTACATCGAAGTTGATACGCGGATACGCAGTGACTGTTCTGTAAAAGCTATTTACTTCTGTGGATACGCGGTTACATAGTGACTGAGTATCCACGTCACGTATCCGCCTATCCACTTATCTTTAGGGGTTGCTTTAAAGTGGCAGGGTATTCTGTAGTTAGTCAGGTAATGTGGTGTCTAATTTAAATATTAGAGCTTGCTGTACAGGGATGTACACTTTTCAGGGGTGTCTGCTTTCTGCAGGGGTGATGACCTTCTTACAGTAGTGTCTACATGTACCTGCCACTATAAATTACAGGATCGATTGGAGTGTCCATCTTTCATAGGTGTCCATCTTACAGGGTTCTGGGTAGTCTTCCTTACAGGGGTGTCCAACAACACAGATCCACTATGCAAAGGTGTCCATAACAAATTTGAAGAACTCACGAATATTATCAGGGCAATATGGCTCATATTATGTTTGTAAGTGAAACTAAAATTGACTCTAGCTATCCTAATGCTCAATTCCCAATACCCAGTTACTCTCTGTATCGCAATGACGGGAAGAAAGGTGGCGGTGGGATTTTGGCTTTAATATCCACGGCACTCTTGAAGAAGTTATGTTAATGCTAAAGGAAAGTGCACAGCAAGCCACTAATTGGTACAACTCAAACCTTCTAGCCGGGAATTTGAAGAAATATCAAACTATGAACATCGGACATGGCCAAAGCGATAATAACACCACTCAAGTGATCAGATTAAACAGTCATGATATTAGTATAACTGACTCTCTCAAATTGTTGGGGGTCACAATAGATTTTAAGCTGAATTTTTCAGAGCACATTAACATGATCTGTAAAATTGCCAGTCAGAAAATTGGCATCCTTATGAGACTCAGAAACTTGATTCCTACAAATGCTAAACTTATGCTTTTCAGAACAGCAATATTGTCGCACCTTACATATTGCCACACCTTGTGTGGCACTTTTGTCGAGCCAGTGATTCTCGTAAAATCGAGCGGATGCAAGAAAGGGGCCTGCGTGCTGTTTTTAGGAACAATATTAGCTACCCTGAACTTCTAAAAAGAGCAGAACTGCCAAGTTTACAGAACAGGAGACTACAAGACATTTGTGTTTTTTAAAATGTATAAAGCCAAGAACAATCTATGTCCCCCCTATATCAGTGACATTTTTATTGAACATAGATCTAAGTATAACTTAAGGCAGTCTGATTTCTCGGCTGCCAGGTACAACACGGTAACATATGGCAAGCACTCCCTCCGCCACTTGGGGCCCAATCGCTGGGGAAAATTATCTCCAGACTTGAGAGAAGTTACCACCTTAAAATGTTTCAAAAACAAAATACGTACATTAGATATAGTTACACTAATGGATAATGGATGCAAGTGTTGTCATCTCTGCAATTCATAGACATATTTTTCATACTGTAAATATTGTTAATGTCATTAATTTTTTTATACCTGCGCTTATATGTAAATACTTTAATTTATATTTATATTTATTTATTTTATGTCCCCTAATTAGCATAGGTTTTTAACCTAAGCTAGGAGGCTTCTTTAGCCACCTTAATAAAGTTTCATCATCGTCATCATCACCATCTAAAATCATACAGGGTTGTTTGCCCTCCTATAGGGCTGTCCATCATAATCTTAGAATTGTAGCAGCAAAGTGATCCTTATGGCAAAGAGAAGAAGACAAAACAAACTAAGACCAAGACTGTTTGCTTTACTTTATCTTTACTGTTTTATTTGGTTTTGAATTTCTCTTCACCACAAAGATCAGTTCCCTATTGTTTCTACAGTACTGTTGTACATGTCTTTTTTTACAGATTCAGATATTTTCAGAGATCCAACCAACTTGAACTCACGGGTTACAGTTGTGTCTTTGTACTTCAATCTTTATAGTATACCTGTTGTGATTCAATTTTATCCTTGTTATAAAATTTATTCCCCTTTGTTTTAAACTCATTATTATATATTACCATACCCTAAAACAAAGGGAAATAAATTTTAAACCAAGGATAAAATAGAACTGAACCATACCATATCCACTGAATTGGAGTGTCCACTCTTCAGGGACGTCCATCTCACAATTAGGATATTTATCATTAAGATATGTTCCTTTCTCAAATGTCCATCTTACTGGGGTGCTTACCTTGCCTTGTACCCAAGGGAGAGATACTTAAGAAAATTTTATATGAAAAGGCTGTTCCAGGATCCAACCCCTAACTTTTACATATATACCTGTTTCAATAAAGGTTGCTTTGGGAATCGTGCTTTGATCTTCGAAAGCTATTGTTTGGTGGTCACTCAAGCAAAGCATTGCATTGTATTCTGTGTTTCAATGACCAAATCCCGTAGCAACCTTTATTGAAATAGGTGTATACCATTTCTGCCACAGAAGGTATCACTTTCTTATACTTTTAATGGGGCTGCCTTTGGCAAAATCTGATCAAGATCTGTTGTGTTGAAAAGACAAAGTGGCACACCAATTAATGTAACCTGAAGTCATTTCATGCCCTGCCCTCTCTCAGTGAATATGATCATTTGACTTTTGAGGGGAGGGATGGGTGATTTCTTAGCATTGTGATAAGAAACAAAACAGCCAGCATTTTACAATGCTATTACTGTTTCTCTCTGAAATGACGTCTGAGGAGCAAGTGCAATTATGATGTTGTGTCACTACCCAGATCTGGGTGGGGCTTCTGATTGCTTATACCGTGACTTCAATTGGTGCTTCAAGCAGCCCAATGTGTGCCTGTCATAGTTATCTTTGACTTGTTAGTAAAAATGCACATTTCTTCATACTTTTCTTAATACTTTTCTATAATTATGCTAGAAATGAAATGTTAAAATTATAAAAATTACTAGAGAACATCAAGCGTTAATGGAAAAGACTGTTTAACCAAAATTTACCTAATTACATAGTTCACATTATCACAGGGGCCCTTTTTAATGTCTAGCCTTTCAAAAAATTAAGCTCATTAAATCCTACCCTTTCAAACACTTAAACTTGTAAACTCCTGAACCTTAAGTACATTTGAAGACTGAAAGGGTACTCCTCCCTGCTGCATAGGTCATCATTGGTAGTACCTCTTTGGGCAGGGCTTTCAACTTAACAGGGGGTCTAGCTTTCAAGGGTTTCAATACAGAGGTTTCCTCTATGCAGAAATGTCCACCTTCCTAAAGAAGTGTCCACCATACAGTACAGTGGTCACCAACAGAAATAGGCAAAGCCTCAGAGGGATGTTACCTTATGGTCTTTGCCATTATACATGCATGTGACATTTTTATCTGTTGTTCTTAGGGAAGAAGCTGTGGCCTGAATCCTCTGTATTTTTCCCTGGTTTTATTCAAAAAAGAAGCATCACTCTACTTACAACTTTCAAGGTTATTGATAACAGTGCCCTTGGTCAGCGAGTCAAGAAGAATCGCCAACCATACTTAATAGGATTTTATAGAAAAAGAAAGACCGCTGATCCAGGAGATGTAATTCGAGTTGCAGTTGCTGGGAAGACAAACAAAGCCATTGTTATTGGCACCAGAAAGACAAAACATCACACGGTTCCAAGATATGATAACAACTGCATTGTTCTTGTTGATGAGAACCTTGCTCCCCTTGGAACACGCATCAAGGGGCCAGTTCCTACAATATTACGAAGAAGGCAAGATAAGTACTCAAAAGTTTTGGCTCTTGCTTCAAGGTTTATCTAATGTGGATTAGATTCTTTTTCTAGCATGCCTTAATCTCTTAATGGTCCTTCAAGCAAGGGGCTTTAATGAGAGAAGATTAGACAAAGACCAAACCTTTGACTATTGAACTTTCTCTTGACCTTGTTGGTCCTAAGAAAGATCTCATCCAACTAGAAGAACTGAAATCCTAAAGGATTAGCCTCCATAAGTGGCGGTTTCATTTACTCTCAATGAAAGAAACTTCATCCCTAGTGAAGCCACAAGAATGAGCAAAATGGGGAGAAGTTCTCTTAAGGCAATTCCCACAAAACATTTACTTTACAAATCTCCAATGAAAATGCCAGCTATACAGGCTTCAAAAGGAAGAACATTGAACACTTTACTTTTGAACCATTTTGTTTTTCTCATTCATTTTTGTCTAATGAGGAACAGGAAAAATTCATGAAAATATTTTCACCAGTGATGCCAGCTTGAATCCTTAAGATCACACAGGAATTGTCAATTAATTTTGTTGTTGCATTCACCATAAATGATAGAAGCATACAGGTAGAAATCTTTGCTGTTACAGTGTACATGTATTTGCAGGCACTGAATAATAAACATTCATTGTCTACTGTGTTTTGTACTGCTCATGCAAATTTAGTTCCTTAATAATTTTTTTCAAGTCAATTATAGTAGTATCCTTATCTGCTTTGATTTTATGCACTACGTTGCTACAGTAAAACCTCCTATAAGCAACCACCTAAAATGCAAAGAGTCAGTGGTTGCTTACAAGACTCAAACTACAGGAGGTCTTTTACATTTTACAAGGAGTAGTTCGGACACAACCTACTTTTTGGAGAGAATGTAAATATTGCATGCAATTTTCATTTTATGTAAATCCATGTTGCTTCTAAAAGTTCTCATTCTCCGAGCAGCATACATTGTAGTGCATACAGCAATCACAAAGACCAGACCATTGTACCAGGTTGTCGCTTAGAAGAGGTTTAAAAAAAGACAAAGGAAAATTAAAACAGTCATCCTAAAAAGTGGTCTCGGTTGCTTACGAGAGGTGCTCATTTACTGGAGCAGCTGGAGGCTCCAACTATGAGGCTTTGAATGGGAAAAGTTAGAAGAAGAGTTATTATTAGCAGTGCCTTCAAATGTTGGATAGTGCTATCCCCTGAATAAATCACTATCCAGCAGATAAGCCAATATTGCCTTATTGACTGGGTAGAGATTTATCCAGTGGATAGCATTGTCCACCTTTTGGAAAACTGGGGCCTGGTCTTTGGTATCCTATTAACCTTACTACTTAACAACCTAACCTTAATAAATAAAGGGAGGAATGTCCATGAAGCATTTTTAAGCGTGCATTCCTCATCATTCAGCTTGCATATGTTACAGGTCAAAATAAAATTCAGCTTAAAATTTTTTATCCAAGGTTGATTCTCAATTTTCTTTGTCTTCTGGTCCTAATAAATTATTCATGAATTAGGGCTAGGAGACAAGGGAAATAATTGAGAATCAACCTAGGTTAACAAGAATTTTAACCTGAGGTTAATTTTGACCTGTAATACATACACATTTTAACAAAGAGTACACATCAGTTTCCATCATATCAGATTACTTTGACACAAGCTTAGAATATTCAAACTGTTTATTTCACACATTCCAAGAAAATGCCAGCTTTTAACATTCCCATTTTACACACAAAAATAGTTCAACCAATGAACAGTTTAACAGCCTCACCAAATAACAAGAAATTAATATACACTACAACTGCAAAACAGTTCCATTATCAAAGTGAACAGAAAGTTTGAACAACTTGAGTTCCAGCAGTTCTTGCAGCTAAGCCTCATCCTACTTTCCACTCTGCTTGGCCATCTGGAATCTCACAGCAATAAATGGCAATGTGAACATGGTTCCTAGATACACAATCATTGTTGCCAGAAGTCTGGGCTTGTTCTTTGTTTGGAAAGGCATATTCTGCAAATGGAAATGTACCTTATAAGACAACTACAGTGTGTTGCGGAATTCTTATAACCCCGCTCGCTGGTTCAAGCAAATCAAATGGTCTGCATCTTTTGATGTAACAACATGATTTAATCCAATCCAACAATCTATTGCGCTGTACAGTTCTCACACATTCAACGATCAAGGCAAGAACTAGAACTAGAACTAACACATTCTAAGTACACAGCTTTTTCTACCATCCTTGCATTAGGCAGTGTTTTGACATTAATCACAGATAAAGTAAAAGTTCCCATTGTACTGTATCTAAATTAAGTGACTATTACAAAATCACACGTTCTCTCACCTTATTTAGTTTAAGAAAATGCATGCAGTTACATAATTTTATATCATAACCATACTTGGACTTTGTCTACATTATTGTGAAATCTCATGCCACAAAATCTAACTTCATTGCGCTATAAATGTCGATTTCTGATATATATTCTGTTCATTCAATGCTGAAAGTTTTGACAGTTGTAGTACCAACAGAAAGTATCCACAAAAGAACACATTTGACGGAGAGGAGAAGTAAAACATCAGCGAGACTTCTGATATGTTTAATTTTACGGGTGAAAGCTACAGTCTTAGTCAAAATTGTTGAGACACTTTACTGTCTTCCTGCCCTCCAATTGTTGGACTAGAAGATTTGCTAACTTAACTGTGATAAACATTGGGAGAGAGTGGGGATGAGCGAGAAGGAAAAAAATAGCATTCAGTGGAAGTGTCCCACCCTTTTTTGTCAAAGACTGTACATGTAGGTCTTTCTGGAATATCAGCTTTATTGAATATCGCAGGACCATGTGTGTGACTGAAAAAAATTGGATCAGCAAGTACCTGTTGAAGTTGGTTTTTTATCTCAGGTAATTTTTGTTTTTCTTTTGTTTTTGGGTATGGTTATCAGGGGTTTCAATAAGCACTGACAGCTGACGAAACACGTCGGCTACTTTGCTCATAGAAGTCAGCTACTTTTTTTCCAGGAAGAAGAAGGAACTAGTTTGAACAACTGTGTAAACAAAAAATATGTTGTAAAATCTGAAAACGTAATTACATGTAACATGTGTTTTCATAAAGGCCCACTGGTTTTATGTTATGCTTTAGTCATGTAAACGCTAAATTTCAGTCAATTTTCACAAGTTTCTTTATACATGAAGGTTTACGCAGAATTTGTTCACGTGCAAAAGAATGTAATTTAGTTTTCATCATTTGTTCATTGCTTGTTGGAATTGATTGTGACTGATAAATCAAAAGTTGAATGAAAGCTACATTTTCTTGAATGAAAAACATGCTCTTTTGTCTTCAATTTAGTCCCCTGAATGAGGAAAATCGCATTTTAGGGCTTTGAAATCTCAAAATTTTCTGGGGAAGCACATCCCCAGACACCCCGCCCCTTCAAAAAGGGGACTAACAGCCCCCTTTTGATACAGTCGGTTACTCTATTCAAACCTGCTGGATACTTCAATATTATTATTTTCATTGATACCCCTGGGTGATGTATGCTAATGAAGTTGAACCAAAGGAAAAATATAATTTCCTGAGATTAAAAATTAACTACAACATCCCTTAAGTCCAATCATCATTTTTTTTGTCCACTAGTTAATGCCCTTATTCTGAAATGGTAATGTCAAAGACTTTGTGGTTTATGCTAGTAATGTAAGCTTACAAAGCTGCAAATTAAAATTATTTTACATTGAAATTTGTCGAAACTATTAGTGTGTTGTTTGTGTGTAATATTAAAAACCCATTTCCATCATTTCTTCATGTGGCAGTCCATATGATCAAAGTTGGAGACGTCCAATGCGTTTACCTTAAATGTAATCGGATAAATAAGGCGCAAAGTTCAACAGAAAACTAAATGGCATCACTCCATACCAGAAGATTATTCACACTGCTTTGCTGCTTGTGGGTTTGGCTTTGGCCAACGATCTGTTGGCCACAGGCTAACACCAAATCATCCCTCCACACATGAGGGAAAAACACCTCTGATACCCACGGTGGAAGAAATAAGTTGTGTTGTTATTGGGACTCTACCTTCCAGTGACTTACATTATTCATTGGCAGTGCTGTCAACTCTCCCAGATAATCCGGGAGA